TCTCTCACGTGGGGAAGGGAAGAGATATTCTTTCACAATGATATAGGCAAGGTAGTCTTAAAGTAGGCTATAATATTAAGAGCCTTCTAAAAAATGCCTACTGCACTGTTCAGATATGCAGGCCCTATTAAAATCCTTTAATATCTGTTTCTCTCTATTCTGTAAAATCACCAATAAAAACAGAGAGAGGGTCCAAGTAAGAGGCTTTAGTTCCAACTTCTCAAAAATTGCCACCACCGTTTGGCACTAATTGGCATTCTTGTTCTCAATCTGAGGCGATGCTAAGGACTAAGGCTCCAGTTCAGGAAAGCACTTACACATGTGCTTACATCCATCCCTATTCAAGACAGAACGTAAGGATGTGTTTCAAACTCACTGAAGTCAGGGGGACATAAACCTGTGCTCAAGTTAAGCATCTGCTTAAGTACTGTCCTGAATAGGGAACGTGTTCTTGAATCGAAGCCTGAGTTGGCATGGGAACTGAACTACCCTTTTGCTTCTAGTGATGGGCCCTATAGAAAAGGGTGGATTCATACTTAAGAAAGTTAAGAAATGCTAGAGCATAGACTGCAACAAAGCTCTCAATCATTATCTGTCCAGGTCTATCAATATGACACATTTCATAAGCATTACGTTACATTCAGATTTATGAAACGATATATATTTACATATATCAAAACAATAAATAAAGAAATGATTCAATTTATTTCTCATTTTTCTGATTCCCATAGTGTGCTAACAATTTAGTAGAGAAAAGAGAACCGCTTACAACTGGAATTATGATACCTGTTCTATTACCTGTTCTATTATGGAATTGCTATCAACAAATCTAACATACTGAAAGACGCTTTTATATTTTCACAGAATGGGGAGAGTAGACATGCTAATCTCAGTAGTTCGTCAGTGCTTCAAGCTGTGCATATCTATCTCTTTGAAGCTGTGTGGCTTGGAACGTATTTGCCACGTACCTTCCTTCATATTTATAAGGTGAAAGAACTCGAAAAATACAATTTCTTAAAACATTTTACATTAATTTCAGTTAGCTGAAGATAAATGATAAAGTTTCATAAGTCCAGGATCTGGCAGTTTTTGGCTGTTGTTAACTCAGTGGGCAAATCGTTTGAAGGCTGTTTTTAGAAATGCCAGGATTTCATAGAGGTGTCATTTCCCTGTCTGCTAATACGCTTTTTGAACGTTATTATTTTTAAACTGACTAAAATCAGCAGATATAGAAATTTGAAGTGTCTGAGTAGAATTAAAAGGCCTTGATTCTGCAAAGGTTCTGGGGGTAAGGCATAGTGATCTACCCATGCAAAGCCAAGTTACGGGATCAAGGCCTTGATTCTATTTAAAAATATATGTGAAAAGCAGCTCATCCTTCATTCTGTGTTTCCCCTGCAACTGCTGTTATTTCACAAATATCTCAAATGGCACGGAGAGCATCACTTCTTTTCCCCTAAGAGATGTCTGTGATGATATCTGTTGTAAGCGAAATGCAGCCTACCCTCTGAGCACTGGTTTTCCCAGATAAGGGTAGAGGAACTGATTTGAATTTATTTCATTTTAGAATGCATTTATCTGACAGTTCTAACTCCTTATATATATTTATGATTGGCAGAAAGCAATTTTTATTTTTTATAATTTGGACAGATAATCTCAATGTTCACTTTTAAGCTTTTTTTTCCTGTTTCTATCAATTTACATGTTCAGAGTTGTGGGAAATTAGGGGGGAGGTGAGACCATTATTTAATGACAATAGACACTGAGATTCATAAAGTTTAAACTTTATCTTTAAAGTTAAAACACAAATTGTCAACAGCACCTGTCAAAATACACAAAGTAAATGTCCCTAAATCAAACTTTAATAAGTTCTCAAGCAGCATTTTTCTTATTTTGACTATCTGTACATTTTTATGATCATCAATGGAAATATTTTCTCATCAGTTTGCGTATGGGGAAATCGATATTAACTGACATGTACCGATAAAAATCAACTCCTTCCGAGCCTACCTATATTGTATGGTTAATGGTTTGGGATCTTAATTACATTTTTAATTCAATATATATATTTAAAATTATGCCATTTTAAATTTATGGCCATTTTTTAAATTATGGCCATTTTTAAATTATGGCCATATATATTTTTTAAATTATGGCCATTTATTTTAGGTCTTCAGACGTTTTGGCCCAATGCTCTCTCCAACCATGCATTCTGTCTCATGGGAGTTACCTCCCAATTCTTCTATCAAGGGTATGCTTTGCCTCCCTCCTTCTCCAGTGAAACTGGCAGGGTGGGTGGCCACCAAATGCTGGGGAAACATCCAAACACCAATCATCAGCATGATCCTCAGGCGCGATGGGATCATGGTTTCTCTATGAGCTCCCTCTAGGATCTCTCCATGGTAGTTCCCCTAACAGAAGAGGAAGGCATGTACTTTGTCAGCACTGAATTGCATCAGGCTGGGACTGGTGGGGAACAATGCTGTGGTGAGCTGCAGAGAGGGTGGGAGGAATTTGGAGAGTATGCCTCATCACCCTGGGCCGAATCTACAGATTAGTGCTCCCCTTCAGTGGGAGGGACTATCGGAGCACTAGTATTTTTGGAATAACAGTCTTTAAAAAAAACTACGTGCTGTTCCTCCTCAGGTTGTACCAACTCTAAACACCAGACAGGTTGAAAGGTAACTTACACACATCAGTGCCAGACATTTGAATCTCTCTGAAACAGTGTAATACAAAATCCTACAGTCCAAGAATAACTCCACAGTACACACTGGTGCTGTATGGGATTTTTAAAGGCACATATGCACCAAAAATATACTATGATTATAACACACTATAAAACGGTCTTTTCTCTACAGCATATACACATAGGGCTTGGTTTTCAGTAACTGTAAAGACCTTTCACACTGTTCTGCCAGCACAATGGAGTCTCAGAGAGAGTGAAGCTAGTCCCCTCATGAGAATACCCTCGGCACAAAGGGCCTCCCTGACTGGTGTAGGGCTGGCAGTAAGGGTTCTACGCTGGCTGCTGGGGTACGCAGAAGGTAGGGGTATGGCCAGACTGCGCTGCAATAGGACTATTCTTGGCCATGGAAGCAGTGCCTGGGCTGCTTTTGCTTACACCATGGACCAGGCAAGCTCTGCATTGCCCCATAATATGGAGAATACAAAGGCGGCTTTAAGCTATCCCTGTTCCACCCCATCCAACCCCGCACCATGCTCATGGATGGATTAACTAGGAATCTGGTCCTTAGAATCTTGTGTGTGAGATGCCACAGTACCGTAATACATTTCTTTGCGTGATGCCAGATTTTAAGCACAATATCCTAACTTCAGTTACTCTATCAACATGAAACCGATAAACTAACTTTTCCATTCATATTGTCTTCAGTGAGAAAATCTGTTCTCTGTTTCCAGACAAGAGTACATTAACATTATGGGTAAAGTTAGAGGAATGGTTACACACAAAGATGATAGGTAATTTCTATGGAAAATAAATCAGTATACATTCACTTCCTAACTTAACATGCACACAGAAGGTTCAAAATCAGGAGCAAGGACACAAAGTAATATCTAAATTTCAAGATCTCCATTAAGACCCAAGAAAGCAAAAATAAATAAATAACTAAATAAAACCCTGCCAGTCATGATACTGACTATAATAAACATTTTCAGAAGAGATGTTATAGACGTGGACCTCATAAATAGGCCATATATTGGTAAAGAGGAGGCATAAATGAAGGTTAATCACCAACCATGCTTAGAATGAACCCTCACTATTTCTGACTGCTGTTAGCCTTAATGTGATCTTAATCTAGGAAGGATTTCAATGGCAAACACAAGTATTCTGGCCAGGTTTTTTTAAAAACATCTATACGGTGCTTCTATCAGTCAGTTGAGAGAGCAGTTAAATCGACCTAAACTGAGCTCTGAACCCATAATCAGGTAAAGACCATTGGCTCCTTAATATGCTATTTTGGAACAAAAGAGTGAGATTTCACACGCACTTCCTCACACTATCCAAAAAAAAAAAAAGAGAGAGAGAGAGAGAGAGAGAGAGTAGGGTGGTAACATTGAATTAAACATTAACTCTTAAAATAAATAAGTTAATGTATGTTAATAATTAAGTTATCTTAGTAAAATGCATTAAAATTCTCTAGTAGTTTTACTTGAAGGCTGTACTGATGGCCTATATTTATGATAGATAACATAACTCCTGTTTTGAATTACCAGCAGCAAAGATTTTATAAATCACCATGGGTTTTTTTTTGTTTTGTTTTTTTTACACATACCAAAAAGAATTCTAAGACCATCTAGACTAGCGTGAGTAATTAATGGTGTGATGCCATAAAAAGAACCAAGAACAGTATGTCTGTGTGTTGGTCTCCTATCTGTAAACCAAACAACAAAACGGGAAAATCCCAGCTTGAAACATTAAATCACCTCTCTGTCTTGTTTCCTAAACTCTCTGTCATTTGGCCCCGTGACATTTTTAAATATTTATCACAATCTAAATGATCTGAGTGCCCAGCACAATCTGCACAAGATAAACATTACTTTCTCTCTCTCAGTTATGACTTCATCTCCTTCTGCCTCCCCATGATGTGTTTATAGTTACTGTTTTTATCTTTTTTTTCATCAGGACAAAACTAATTAGGGCCTTGATACTTCAAAGATTTATGCATGCACTTAACTTTACGCACAAGTCATCCTACTGAGATCAGGTCTGGGGTCTATATCTGATGCTTCAAGCATGGCATTTTTATATTAACTCCATAATGCTGAGAGCTAAGATTCCATGGCACCTCTGACCCCAGCACAATAGCAGTTGCCAAGTGTTGCATTAGAAAGTCTTTTTGAAATTAAAATCTAAGTTTGTAGCTGATTTCTGATTTTTTAAGTCTCAGTCTGGCTTCTTCCACACATAAAGGAAAATATGGCCATGTGAAGTATCCTCTTGGGATTGAGTAGTTTGAGATGCATCTTGCTATCTGTACCTTTATCCTCGCACAGCTCTATCCCTTCTTCTGATGGTGGGCTGGGTACAGCTGTATGTTTTGCCTCATCTGTACAAATGGAGGAAGCAAAAGAGAAATAGTGGTTATTTATTAGATAATAGGATGGGTGGACTGGTACACCTAATGCATCCAGGGGCCTTTGTGGCTAGAAGACAAGTCTGAGGAGTCAGTACATATCGGTTCTATTTCCTTCTTTGTCATTGGCCTGTTCCTGTTCCCATCAATGGCCATGATAAACTTCAGTGGTGCTGGATTAAGCCCTAAATCTCCACTCTGCTTCCCTCCCTGTAAGACATGGATAATAATAATAATACCTATCCACCTCATGCGTGGGTTGTGCTGCAAGATACTCACTTTGCAAGCATTACAGGGGCTTGATCTTGCAAGCACTCTGGACCCAGTCCAGGGAGCATTTAATCCTTCTATATTGAGAAGAGCATTTAAACCTGTACTTTAAGCATGTGTTTGATTCCATTGACTTCAATGGGACTTAAAACCTATGCTTAAGTGCTTTCCTGAATTGGGGCCTAAGAGCTTTGGTAGCACCTTGAGGGATCAAGATGTAAATTTTGCAAAATATTAATACTATTTTAATAAGAATCTGGTTAGAGGATTCACATGCAAACATGTGGACAATGAAATGTACTGACCACTAGAGCAGAGTGAAATTTTGTCATTCATAGTGGCAGTTCAAATTTGTTTATAATGACAATGAACAGCAATTGGGTGAGGGAACAAGAGTAAGAATGACTCAATATCCTGGTGGTCAGGGCACTCACCTATGATTTGGGGGACTCAAGTTCATGTCCCTGCTCCACTGACCAATTATTTATGAAAAGTGGAACAGCGTCATCGGGAGAGATTGGCAAAGACCAAAACTGAAAGCGCTATGTCACTTTGTAGCCTTTACCTCAGCAGTTAGGGCGCTCACACGGGAGAGAGGAGACCCAGGTACAATTCAATAGCCCAGTAGCTAGGACAGTCTTCTGCAACACAGGAGACCTACGTTCAATGTGGGAATTGAACCTGAGTTTCCTAGCTGTTGTGCTAAAGGCTAGAAACGGATGTAGTGCTTTTTAAGATTATTAACTCAGATGTTTAGTGATGATAGTTTAGATTCTTTGGGAATTTTAAAAGTAATACATTTGTGATGTGTTTGTTATTATCCCCTGAAAGATCTCCCTTTTGGTTTACAAAAAGGAACAGAAATTTGCACACTTGAAAAGCAGTGAAAAGGTTGCTCCTTATAAACTTCCTAATAATAAGCATGTTCTTCATAATGATTAGAATTTTTTGTGTGTGCAACTGACTATATTTTCTACATTTCGCCAACCATTTCAGCAATTGTGCATGAAAATAAGGTAATTTCACAAGCATATTGCCAAGTAAACAATGGACAGAAATAGAAGTTGTCTTAAAAGTTCCATGCATTATTTTGCCCCACCAAATAATGCTGAATCCGCCAATAACCCTACAAGCTGAGAGTTTAGTCATGATACACTAGTACCAATATTATGAATGATAGTAAAAGAATGAACATCATGTTTCTGATAAACTGAGTATAACAGTTTGTAACAGTGACACGTCATAATGGCACATCTGAAAGAAACAACGCACTTTTAGATAGCCAAGCAAGCTAAGTAATAGTTTTAAAAGGTAAGCATTTTCACAGTTGCTTCCCATGGGAAAGATGAAATGCGGCTCATTGCAACTTAGTTGTTTCATGAGTTAATAAACACAGGAAATATGCATTTAATCAGAAGATATAGCTAAAATATTTGAATGTCTAGTGGGCCACTCAGGGTATTTTTAGAAGGTAATTTATCTAGGTTGAGCAGAAACCTCTGGAGTTTGGACTGCTTTGAACTACAAGCAAAGCACTATTTTGTAAAGTTAAAAGATGAATACTGAACTAATGGTTCATCAGGCAAAGGTTATGCAGAATTTTCAAAGCAGCTACATGCTGGTACTGCAACTTGCTACTATACAAAAGACCCAAATTCAGTGATCTCATGACTCTTGCCCTTTGGCTGCTTAAGTCTATGAGCACTGCAGAGGTGAAGCTGTTAAATGTAGGAAAGGAAGCGTGGTTGGTGACTGGCTTTGTTCTAACTCTCTTGTATGATACTGTAGTCTGCAAGGAAGCTGCTTACCCTGGTGGGATAAAAGGAGAGTCCAGAGCTTAGGGGGCTGGATCCAAGGCCCATTGAAGTCAATGGGAGTCTTTCCACTGCCTTCAATAGGCTCTGGATCAGGCCCTTGAAGAACATGAGTTAGTGCCTGTGTGTTTTTGTTGTGGTAAGATTAAAGAAAGTAGGAACAGGGAGGAGAGGTAAGTGGATGAAACCTGCTAAATTGCGAGCATCCAAGAATGGCCTCCGTTTAACAGAGAATGGAATAAAACTAGAGTAGAACGCAGAGGAGAACAGGGAAAGGCTTTCATACACAGTGTTTCCTCTACAGGGTGGAGTAAAGGGGGGAAAGAAGTTTATCGCAACACAAATTTCTCTCTTCACAAGGAGCCACAATGCAGTCAACAGACCAGATGACTCAGTAACATAGGCAGGCTACCCTGCGGCCTCACTCTGCTGCATTTACTGACTGGCCCTCTCCATCTCCTAGGTAATAATAAAAGCTTTCAGAGCTGATTGAAAAGTTCTAAGTAGAGAAGTTTCATGCTACCCGAATTCAGTATGTGTAGGCAACACAATGTTCCAGTATACTATTTAGCTGGTACCAATCAGACATAGCACAGCATTAAAAAAAAATAAGAAAAACACTTTACTGTGTAGCAGTGTGTTGGAAATCCAAAGGAATAGGGTATTTATAGTGGTTTTGATGATCACTTCAGTTATTTTGAAAACTGCTCAATTCTGGTTGTCATTTCTGTTTGCTGGATACATTTGGAACAGAGTACCCTTTTATTTTAAAATATCCAATTCATAACTTGTAACATACATTTATAAACACACCATTTGCAAATCTAGAACTTTATGAACTCTGACATTTACTTGCAGGTTTTGATTTTCACATGTAGGCTCTTTCTGTTTGGATGTAAATCTTAATAATCCAATTTTCTGGGATCAGCAGAGAAATTACTAGAAAAAAATAGTTATTACAATCTAAAAGTACCATTAAAACTTTGAAAGACCAGTTTTAGATCTCTCCCTCTTCTCCCCAAACTTATTTTTTTCATTATTCTTTCTTATAGAGTGCTACACTGATGTAAACATGCATGGAAAATTATTTTTTCTACTTAGCGGATTAGCGAGATATATTCCAATTTAAAGAGGGAATGTGGAGCTAGTAACTTCACAGGAAAGTCTGCATTCCTGCACTGCAACAGATTCATTCATAATGAATGGAGCTGTGGTCTCCAATGGGAGAACTGCACAAGCCCTGGGTTAATCTGGTGAAAACGTACAAACATTTTCAGTCAATAGCATTGACTAAGGTTATTGTTCACCAAGGTGGATAAAGCCTGGGAGAATGCTTTAAAGAGCTCAGCACAAACCTGCTTCTTGGCTCTGGCCCTCAGTTTCTTCATTACTTTGCTTCTCTTCTCTGCTATTATCATCTATCAAGAAAACCACACAAAAATTATTTATGAAGTATCTTTTTATTGGTAACAAGCAGCACTGAAATTAATTGTAACCAATGTAGCATAAACTGTTAATTTATGACAGAGCCCTGTGATAAAGCAGGGAGAGATGCATAGGTAGGGGGAAACTGAAAAATTACTAACATAAATAGTTGCATTTAGGGTTTTCAAACTGTCTGGCAGATTAAAGGTTTTATAGCAAAAGGCAGAATTATTTCATAACCCTGGAAACATCTACATATTCCACAAAGTTGTTTTTGCTTATGGAACATCTACAGTGGATGTGTTTATTGGTTGATTGTGTTTCACTTGTTCTGTTAAAAGATTATTTTTTCCAGTCACATTTATATAAGAACTTTGAAGTACCCAAATCTTACACTTGAACAACCTATTTTAATCAGTGCTATGGCAGGGTGACTGTAGCTTTAATCAGTACTACGCAGGGTGACCATAGCAGGGAGAGATGTGTCAGAATTTTACTTTCAAATGTAAAGCCTTGAAGAGACTGAATGTAGAGATATCGAAGATACCGAGGCTACATTAAAAAATGCACAACAAATGATTAAAAGGAATATAAGAGGAAAAAACAAAAGGAAGAATGAAAGGATTTATTGCTCCTTTAGACCTTTTTGCATTCACATTCTCCTTCTCCCCCTCCCAGCTCCTTACTGAAGACAGGTGCCAAACAATGAATTACCACAGGGAAAGGTATACAACAGGGAGAGGCCGCAGGGACAGTGCACCAAGCTCTCTCAGCCTTATGAGTGAACTGATTCGGAAAGAACCAGGCAGTCTGTATTTTCAAACACAGAGAACCCTATTTTAGAACTGTAATAATCATAAAGATTGCAAGTATCAGGGGGTAGCCATGTTAGTCTGTATCCACAAAAACAGCAAGGAGTCCGGTGGCACCTTAAAGAGTAACAGATTTATTTGGGCATCAGCTTTTGTGGGTAAAAAACTCCACTTCTTCAGATGCAAGGAGTGAAAGTTACAGATGCAGGCGTTATATAATGACACATGAAGAGAAGGGAGTACCTCACAAGTGGAGAACCAGTGTTGACAGGGCCAATTCAATCAGGGTGCAGTGTAACATACTGCATCAGATGTCGCTAGCAGGGCCGGCTCCAGGCACCAGCTTAACAAGCAGGTGCTTGGGGCGGCCAAGGGAGAGGGGCGGCACCTGCGGCAATTCGGGGGCGGCATGTCCCTCACTCCTTCTAGGAGCCACTGCTGAACTGCCTGCCGCTGAACTGCCGCCGCCAATCGCGGCTTTTTTTTTTTTTCTTTTCTTTTTTTGCTTGGGGCGGCAGAAATGCTGGAGCTGGCCCTGGTCGCTAGAGTGGTTATTCTGACAGAGTCAACAGTTAGTTATCACATTTAATGAGGAATTCTAGAAACCGGTTTGTGAGTGTATAAATAAATAGCAAAGTAATTAATTTCCAGATTGTGGAAAAGGCCTCATAATGATAAACATGAATCCTGCTGTCTCATCCTGCTGTGATCATTTCTCCTACTAGATTTTCACTTTTATAACTTATGTACCCTATTGCTTTAGCACTTCCCACCTTGGGCACCTTACTTTCTCTTAACACATGGGACCATCTGCTGCAGAGAACAATGGTAGCAGAAATGCATCTTGATTGATGGAATTAAAAACAAAAAACCCTAAAGAGAATGTATTTTTCATAAGTAAATACCATGCAACTTATAATAGCACACTTGATTTAGCTACCATCCATTCAGACATTTTGTTTTCCTAGTCCTTTGGCAGGTATTACATTTTAGAATCCAGTAGGTGGAACTAGTGTAGAAGTATTTTCTTTCTAAGCTATAACTCATAGAGTTACATTCTTAGCCAATCAGATTAACACGTGTTTTATACAGTTTCTGAGACATTTGGAGCCACAGTTTCAACTGGTGTAAATCGATGTAGCTGCACTGACCTCCGTGGAACTACACTGATTTATATCAGCTGAGAAGCTAACCCATTAGTTGTTTTGTAACTTTTCATACTGATGTTAACTGGTCTAAATGGACAGCTAGTTCGCTAGTGGCCTTCATCCTGTAAAAGTTCTTAGTCCACTGGTGGGCTTCAGCCTGTAAAATCACATTACATGGATGACCAGAAGTACTTGATAACACCAGCATTTTATTTATCATCCAGCTACAAAATGGGGAGCAGACACAAAATAGAAAGTTAACCACACTAGAATTGAAACTTTTTTTAAAATATGGATTTTGGACTTTGCAAGGCTTGCAGCAAACAGCTAATACGTTTGGGGAGAATCCTTTGCTTAGCGTAAGAGATAGTTTTCAGGGAGATAAAGTTGTTTAGTTCAGGCGCTGTGGCATGAGACCATATATTCAAGGTTTGTGGTAAAACAATATTGAAATGGTCACTAGTAAACTCTGAGCAAGAGCACTGCGTAGCTCAAAGCGTGTCTCTTTCACCAACAGAAGTTAGTCCAATAAAAAATATTACCTCACCTATCTAGTCTCTCTGGAAGCAATACAGCTACAACAACACTGCAGCCAGTAAAATCTGTACAATTATCATTTGCAGGTAATTACCAGTAATGTCTACGTGAGAATATTGGAGTACTACTAACTAAACAAAAAACAAAACTGTCAATGATTTCAATTGTGACTGTTCGTTTCCTAAATGTGTACTGCATCATGCTTAGTTTTACACAGTACTTTACATTCAGAAAAAGCAGGTCAGGCTGTAATGGTAACCACTGTGATATTTATTACTGAAAACTATTCCAGTAACTAAATTACTGATGAACGGACAACACTTAATTTGTTTCTACATTCAGTAAAAACAAGTCAAGTACCAATATGGCTATTATTCATTTTGCTAAAATCAGATTTTTTTTAATCTTATTTGTTTCCATGTTATTCAGTTTCTTATGAATTCAAATTCTGAGTAAATTCATATTAAAAAGGAAAGTTTTAAAATAACCTCAGCCTGACTCGTCAGTATGTTACTCCAGTTTTAAACTGGTGTAACTCTAGTTGATTTCATTGGAGATATACTGGCTTAAAACTGGAGTAAAGTAGATGTGAATAAGGTCCTAAACATTAAATTCTTACTGAATTCAAAGAAAATCAGAAATGTAAGTGAAACTCCGATTTTGTATTCTTTTTTCATGCCAGAAAAATGCAAGAGATTTTAAATAAAGGCTTTATTTCTTGCATTCCCCTCTTCCAGCAAACTCTCTGGATCATGTATCTATCTATAGAATGCAAATTCATCTTACACACAAGGAGCAGTATTCTTAAAGGATGTGTTGTGCCTTCAATGGAGTGGGGGCATGTATTTGCTTTAATAAAAGTGGGAGGGTGGAAAAATTAAAATCCTTTCCCTTGACAGTTGAATGAAAAGTTAGTAATCAAGGGCTTGTCTACACAAACATTTAGCTCCCAGCAAGCTGGGGTGTGACTCTACCCTGCACTAGCCTGTTGGGTACTAACTGTTCATGCAGCCTCTGCGGACATGCTCAACAGTTCCTTATCACACTTTGATCTACACTGCTTTGAAAAGGGATTAGATCAATTTGCACTAAGGGACTGTTAATGCGCATACCAGGATCCACATGGACACTTCATGCATGGCAGGCTAGTCTGGGGTAGGCTCACACTCCAGCTTGCCACAAACTAAATGTTTGTGTAGACAATCTCCAAGAGTGAATATGTGTTTCTAAGCTAAATGACATACAGACTTGGAGTGCCAGATTCTCCCCTATGGCCAAGCTCTTTTTGACATGGAGAGAGTGAAGCATCAGGGAGCCTATTACAGTCTGCACTGACCCCAGCCCTGACCCTTGATAATGCTTAGAGCAGCTAAAATGAATAATACATTCCAGGAAATATGGTTGTTTGACAATCTCATATGCTTGAGAAATTTGTCCTCCATCCTCATAACTGTCTCTCTTGGCTATGTTGTCAGGTATCTCATAACAACTGCACACCATTCTTAAACATCAGGAAGACCAAAAAAACCCTCAACAAAATCATAGTGTTCTGTAATTATCTAGAGCAAGATAATTATATGCCTAAACAAAAACTGAAATGGTGCACACAGAAACATCTCTGAAGCCCTCCCTCTTACCCCGCTTTCAAATACAGTAAAAAATTAGGGCAACATTTTTCAGTAATCTAAAAATAATAGAGCTTCCTTGGTTGAATACCATCTGGTCTGGGTGACTTATTACTGTTTAATTTATAAATGTATTCCAAAACCTCACCTAGCAACACTTCAATCTGGGACAGTTTCTAGGATTCTTCACCTACAAAGAATGGCTCAGGTGTGGGAATCTCCCTCCCATCCACTGCAGTGAAGACCAATGCAGAGAATTAATTTAGTTTCTCCGCAATGGCCTTGTCTTCTTTGAGGGCTCCTTTAGCACCTCAATCGCTCAGTAGCCCCACTGATTGTTTGGCAGGCTTCCTGTTTTTGAGGTACTTAAAAAATGTGTTGTTAGAATTTGCCTCTTCTACTAGTTATTCTTCAAATGCTTTTTTGACCTACCTAATTATACTTTTACACTTGACCTGCCAGAGTTTATGCTCTTTTCAATTTTTAAAGGATGCCTTTTTGCCTCTAACCACCTCATTTATTCTCTTGTGGCATTTTTTGGTCCTCTTAATATTTTTTTAATTGGGAGGGGGATGCATTTCATTTGTGCCTCTGTTATGATGGGTTTTTTTAAAAGAGTTACCATGCAGCTTGCAGACTTTTTACTCTAGTAACTGTTCCTTTTAGTGTCAGCTTCCTCATTTTTGTGTAGCTCCCCTTCTTGAAGATAAAGGCTACTGTGATGGGCTTCTTTGGTATTTTCCTGCCCACAAGGATGGAAAATGCCAATTTGTTGAAACCAAAATTTCCCCCCAGAAATGTATGAATTATAAGTTAACTGTGTTATATTAACGCGCAGTAGGGAAATTTTAGGCTATATCTACACTTATGG